GGGAGGAAACTCAAGAAATGCAAGTTTTTGGAGCCTAGTGGTGGATAGGTTTAAAAAAAGATTAGCCTCTTGGAAGAGGAATTATCTTTCTTTGGGTGGAAGAATTACATTGATCAAACCAACTTTGGCCAATTTGTTTGTCTACCTTCTTTCAGTGTTCAAGATTCTTGTTGAGATTTGTAGAAGCCTTGAGATTGTTGGGATTTGTAGAAGCCTTCAGTGTTCAAGATTCTTGTTGGGATTTGTAGAAGCCTTGAGAAGTTAATGAGGGATTCCTTGTGGGAACATGGGAAGAAAGGAAGGATCATAGGGTTAGATAGGAAGTGGTAAGTAGAAGTAGAAAGTTTGGTGACTTAGGGATTGGGAACATCTAGAAGAGGAATATGGCTTTGCTAGGAAAATGGTTGTTGAGGCTACTGATGGACAAGAATATTAAGCATCCATGGGCTAGCAACTGATGGCTAGGATGCAAGAGTTTGGGCTTGAGAAACTAGTGTGGTGCCTTGAAAAGCTATTCATGCCATCCTTCCGTATTTCCTACCCTTTGTGAGGTACTACAACCTTTGTTCTGGGAATTTGGTAAGGTTTTGGAAACATTTGTGGGTGGGGGATTCTTTGCTTAAAGATCAATTTTCATCTTTGTTCTCCCTTTCCAATTACAAARATGAACTTGTTTCTACTTTTCTATCCTCTCCTGGCATGGGCCCTTAGCTCGATTGGGATTTGAGGTTTAGATGGGGATTCAGAGAATTAGATGTTGATAGTGTCTTGGCTTTGTTTCAGATTCTAAAAAATGTTCTCTTGGACCTCTCTAAATTGGACTCTCGAATTTGGACCCTTTCCKCCTTTGGTTCATTTACTTGTGCTTCTTTTTTCAAAGCCTAAGTCAACCTTCTTCTAGTCCTGGGCTCTCCTTCCTTGTTAAAGAAGTGTGWGGGAAACCAGTCCTGCCAAGGGTTGGGGCACTTTGCTGGGAAATATTCTTGGAAAGAATAAACACTTATGATCTACTTCAAAGAAAGAAGCCTTTTTGGTGCTTGTCTCCGAACTGGTTTACTCTTCCTAAAGCCAATGGTGAGTCTTGCTACCACTTATTAATCTCCTGTCCTTTTGTTTCTTCTATTTGGGATTGGTTTCTTTCTTCGTTTGGTTGCAGGTGGATTCCCTCTCCGAATCTATAAAGCCTCTTTGACTATTCTGCAGGTAGCAGGACAAAGAAGAGAAGGGGAATATTGTGGAGATGTACAAGAGCGATGGTTTTCTAGGCAGTCTGGGAGGAAAGAAACCAAAGAATTTTTGCTGAAAAAGAGAGAAGCAGAGAGGCAATCACTACTAGAGTGGTTCATTGGGTAAAAGCAATGGAGATTTTTAATGACATTCACGTAGAGTCCCTGCTGAATAACTGTAAGGAAGTGGTGGTCTTAGCTCCAAGTAGAAGTGTTGCTCATCCGCTATGGATCTGCCTTGTGCAGGTTTTATCAAGTTAAACTTTGATCACATCAGTGAAGGTAACCCTGAACCATTAGGGATTAGTGGAGTCTTTAGGTTAGAGGAAGGTAGTCATAGCTTTGTTTTTAGGCCCAATTGGTGCAATTCACTGCAAGCAGAAATTATGGCATTGATGGARGGTGTGAAAAGGGCTAAGGAGCTAAATGTCAACAGCCTGATTATTGAAGGAGACTCTAAAGTGGYAATARGCTGGTTAGGGAAGGAAGATGATGGCATGTGGACTTACCTGAATGAATGAAGACTTTGCAAGTGGCTGACTCAGGGTTTGGAGGTGAGATTGCAGTGGGTGGGGAAGTGC